CTCGTTGCTTACCCACCGAACCGGCTACTGCCACATTCAGTATTTTCAACTGATAGTGCTAGAACTATATTAATAAGATTCAAAAGTTTCAGGACTATCAGCTGGACTTATCGAATCTCCACGAGCTATGTTTTTCTTTACTAATGGAAGTCCTTGCCAAATTGATGCAATGATATACAAATAAATGTTACGTTCTTCAAAACACGAGGGTGCTATGGCACAGCGATCCAACAGCGTTCAAGTACCAATAGTAATCCGCCAAACGTCGTCTCCGGCTGGGTAGATACGCCTGCATCAAAGCAACAAATGAGTCGTTGGGGAGCGTTACCGAAAAATGCCCAAAAATAGAAACTCATGCACGGAGAGCCCCTATAGGGAAGTACCATAGAGCTAATTTGTAATAACTAATCGTTTTGGGATGAACCAAACAAACAAATTACAGCGAGGAAGGACCAGAACAAGTTTGAGTCTGCACACGAGTCACAAAATTAACTAGGTTTGGACATGTGAACAACAGAAGCGGTTAATCCGGGCACCAGTTTCAGCTTAGAGAATGAAATTAACACGTGTTTACCTGCATTAGCAATTAATACCAGCTCCGAACATATTTTGATCAGGACACAGTTGTATCAGGCAATCACAATCAACAGTCCTCATATCTGTCCTGAGTTCTTCCATATTTATCAGTTCTCCAGGCTTCGACGACAGAATGTAGGAAGAAACTATGTACTGCACAACTATAGAAAGTTATGAAGGGCATATCCGAAGTTATCTTTGCGTCTTCCCACTGCTACACTTGATCGAAGGATGTATGGGTGTGATAACAATGTACCCGCTGCCTCAGCGTGACTGGCTCGTCACATTCCCCCGCGAGCGAAACACGGACATAAACACACTAAAAACGAAAGCAGGCGTTTTATGCGGTTGTCTCAGAAATTCTCGTCGGTCGGCACATTCTCCAATTCGTGCGCAACTCATTCGTGCACCTCCGATCACATTATGCTGTACTTGACGCTACAATCCGATAACTTGTTGGATTTCGAAGTCAGCCAAAGGTAAGCTTGCACCCATCAAGAGTCAAAATGCTGACGAAGTTAGAAGCCCGACGGCCACCCGACAAGACATCCGTCGTGCGTTACATGAAACACCGTATTGTGGCCTGAAGTCCCGAAATCCTGTATTTCCAACGTCAGCACCACTTAAGTGGATGTAGACGCCGCAAAGCAGTAGTCACTGAGTTAGCAGCTCTCTCTAAATGACAATAGGCGGTTTGGAGGAGTCTCTCCGAGCGCATCTGACGTGCGCATTGAGAATGAACCACAAGGCATTACGAAGATAGGTACCAAAGAGGGTTCAGCCGTCTGGAGCCATCCAAAATATGTGTCCTAATTAATCATGGAAAATCGGCCGTTCTCCGGATACTTGGACACTCCTTCCATTGTATTACTTGCATAGACTTCCAAATACTCTGTAACAGCTACCCTTCCGTTCAATAACTCCTCCAAACAATTCCACACCAGCACCTAATATCCACATTTTGTTTTGTCTGCCTCAAAATTACGTGCCAAATTCGCACCAACGAATACAGCCTTTTGCCAAAAACAGGTTCCGTGAACCGTTAAGGGATCAACGTGACTTCACATTGTTGCTTTTCACGATCCTTTGGACGTTTATAAGGACAAAACAAGACAAACCCTACAAACAACACACGGGGAATCACGTGCGCGCACGGAGCACGAGGTCATCCAAAATCCATAAGTCCGCGGACAAGGAAGGAACACATGTAGCAGCTATATCTGCGAAGAAAACACGATTCCGCAGTCCGGACTTCCACCAAAGGACTTTCACAAACGATAAGTTCCTCATTTGACTTGCTCCACACACGTCACACACTCGCGTCACACACAAGTCAGAGTGCAGGCAGGCTCAGACGCCAACGTAGCACACCTCATTTGCACACCACATCGGCCCTTCGATCTAACGTTAACAAAGCATCAGGCCACGGAACGAAGATCAAGTATGGCACTAATCCAGGGGAAAACTCCCTACGCCGGGCCTCCCTTCGCACAACAGCACAAGGACCTCACATACCGATAAGTCTCACCAGTTCGGCGTACCTCATTTTCACACTGTATTACTGTTCATTGGATGCACCCAATCTCTTAATTTATTTAGACATAGTACTCAACTTTCATTAGTGTCTCTCATTTTTGATATTGGAGCTCAACGTTCTATCACCAGGGCATTGATGACTCCGTCGGGCCTACATCAGACCGCCTCATGAACATGCCAACGAAGTTGTCAACTCAGGGCGTCAGAAAGATGTTACTCTCATTGAGTGCGTAGAACGGGCTGCTGCAAAAATTGTAGCCGGTCTTATATCCATGGCATATGAAACGCGGCTAACCATGCCTGACCTTTTCCTCCTGAAGTATCATCGCCACCGGGGAGAACTAATACTTACTAAACAACCTTTGGCCAAGGCGTTTTCACTGTTGACCCAGTTAACATTCGGCGAAGACATGGTCTGAAGACTTTCAAGCTCAGAGTGCACGCCTTTGTAAGTAATACTTTTTTATTTCGGAAATAGCCTTCCTCGGTCGGTTGTTCATGACGCATCTAGTGTCGTGAACAACCACTTTTGCAGACCACTTTTAGACGCCTTCATAATTGAGTCCTCATGCTGGCATTGCCTCACCCTTTTTAGCCTGTGCCTTCCAGTTGAATGGAGGCCGCCGAACGACATGCACAGACCCGTGCGCTCAAGGAGATGGAAGATTAGAATGCGCGCCAAATTGTGGAGACATGTGTTTAAGCACGTTTTGGCAAACGCGATAAGCGATTGGCAACTTTTCGTCTCAGCATATATGCAGACAAACGCTACATTTTGACGCAGCAGTTGCCCTTGTGCACACTGCGGTTTCGGAAAAAACTGGTACGGCCTGGTACGGATCGGCCAGCGGGCACCGAATTTGAACCTGGATTGTGCCAAAATGAGCGGGCGAGTTGAGATTTAGGCTGTGTTCGGGCCATGCTACACTGACGTCTTTGCTGGTTATAATGTTCGGTAAAAGACAGAACGTGGCTCTGTCAAAGCCGAAGAAGTTACATTCCCTCGAATACTTGAAGTAAGTTTGGTTAGTACCCCTGAAATATATTATGAACTTGGGATCACAATTGGAACGGTGTGAGCGTTTAATGAGCGTAGTAAACTACCGCCGCTCACCTAACAATTGAATTGACAGATTTTGGCTCCCCTCACCTTCCCTGCACCAAATTTTAACTGATTTCATTTACTGGATAATGTACTCACCTGCCAATAGCTTCTTCGGCATGGTCGTAGGTTCCGTGCTCCGTTTAGGTTCACTCGCAAGCGGGGGAGGGTTTTGAAACCGTAACTGGTTGTGAGTGAATCTATATTCTGGTGATGTTTGTTCAAGACGCCATACTGAAGGGGCTCCAACGGACTTCCTGATGAATGGTTTTGAAATGGAACCTTCGATTTTCGTTTAAGGAGGTCACAACGATCGCGGTTTTAAGGGGTTCGGAGAGCAACGTGTTAGTTTCGTAGTACTGTCGTTGTGTAAAATGAAAATGTCGGGAATAGAATTTGTGGGCTACTGCACACTGAGTGTCCAGGTAAATTCGGGGTTCGTTCACTTGCGGATTAACTTCTGGAGTTTTAGTCAGCAGATCACATATTGCGAGATACCACACTTCTGGTGGTATATTTGTTGACAGTATTATCTTTGACTCATTCCACATCCAATACTGACAGGAAGTGTCCAAAGAGGTAGCGAGTGATACAGTCCTATAGATGTTTTCTGTCGCAGACCCACTTATGTGCTACCACTGAGCTAACGGATGGAACCTGCTAGCTGCTTGTGGACTTACGAACCTTTCCTTATACTGTAAGCAGTCCCACGAAGAGTGTGCTCAACGCAGAGCGCTGGTGTGTGTTGGGTGACGCTCTATGTTGTCCCTGCACCGGTGTTTTTACTGTCTGCTCCAAGGCAATTGCCGCGTAGCTTCATATTAATCTCCGCAGAGATCTGGTGGGAGTCGATGCAGTTCTCATCATCGACGAAATTGCATCATTAGGAGAATGGTGCCTAACTGTCGTGCGAGGGAAGGTATCTGTAAAAGGGGAAAGGAAAGACATGGTAGAAGAAGCAACCAACCTACACTTTCTAGAATCAATGTAGCGAGCACATCGAAGCATCTTGCTGAAACAAGACCTCCAGCTTGTTTGGCCCATCATCCTTTGCGAGCCTCGCCGGCGGTCTCAAAGGGCAAGCGTGGCTTATAGGTTCATTGGAGGCCGGAGTTGATGGGCTGTTCAGCTTTGACGCAAAGCGTACTGATAGTGCTGATTGTCTTCGACAGTTCTGTATTAAACACCTTGTTTCTCAGTAGTATTGGGTTCAGACACATTGTGGGCCTTCGCGCCATTTGGTATCATTACTGACAAACAAGTGTGACTCCAAATTGGCCACATAATCATTACCTTCTGATGGCGAGTCTCTGTTGTTGATCATCGGTCTCTCTGGACCACTCGCATCTAAACAATAAACAAGCAATCAATCCTGTTGGCGCCTAGCTATCATGTCGTCCGAAGGATGTGATTCTACCTGGTCTCCCAGGCCTAGACAGAAACCGTCGAGATCCCGGGGTCGAATTTGAACCACGGACTTTCCAAGCAATCAATCCTGTTGGCGCCTAGCTATCATGTTCGTCCGAAGATGTGATTCTACCTGGTCTCCCAGGCCTAGACAGAAACCGTCGAGATCCCGGGGTCGAATTTGAACCACGGACTTTCTGACTAGTATGTTCGCGCGTTAACCACTAAGTTATCTCAAGCTCTCGCCTATCCCAATATTATTGTCGTGTGGTCTCACTGTTCAATAAGTCTCGCGTTGAGACCTGACTTCGATCGCTCAGTCTGATACTTTAGGGAGAAACTGGTGGCACTATTGCCACCTCGATTAGCTGCCATTTCTTGCAATATTTCTAAGGCTGAAACTATTGGCTTCACCTGATTGTCGGGTTTGGATGTTGCGATGATCCCGTGGACTGCACTTGCCGGAACTTAATTTAACAGAGGGAACCATACTTGGAGGGCCAAAGTAGAGCAAGAAAGGCGGGATCCCATACTATGGGTAATCGTATTTTGAGGCAGTCTGGGAGGTAAAGTTATACTGTTCCTTTCTTTCCAGACGGTCAGCATGTCCGTGTTCGTAGGAACCTTCCAGGATGGAGGGACAGGTTAGAAATGGTCGCCCCAGGAATCGCACACCAATCGCTCAGTAACTGACTGTGACCGCTGACGAGTTATTTAATACGGTTGAAAAATAGCGAACCCTCAACTTAGTGGGTCTCCAGTCGCGTCTGCTGTGTCGCAGTGTCAGGGATATGGTCTTCGTCCTCGAATCAGGCCACCCGCTTCAGTCAAGCAGGTCATCGGTTGCGGGTAGTATTCCTGAATAAAACCCTACTCACCACCATCTTCTGGGTCAGACTTTTGAGCCAAAGGCTAGAGACAGGGCCTCTGAACAACCACATACATCCTCCTGCTGTTTTCGGTCAGTCTGCAACCGGTGCCTGGACAAACTTTCGATATCTCAGCCTTTCTTCCTTCAGCCCTCGTGGCATGGCAGTCATATCCCAAAAGGGTGCTGCAGACTGAATGACTGATGTGTTTATTTATTTATTTTAATCAAATTTAGTGCTACTGGACATAGAAAAGATCCTTGTTTGACCTGTTGGCATGTGTCCCAACAGACTACAGTCTGAGCTCCTTACAATCACACCTTGATAGTCGATTTTGTGTCGATGCTCGTCGCACAGACAAAAGAGAGCGACTCCAGTTGTGTGCTGACCATCAACTGTTTCCGGCCAGAACGTTAACTGGCGGCTACGAAACGCAGGTCAACCGTGGACCCAATTTGGTCAGATGGCTGTCAGCCGTCGATGAAGAACAGCACACAACTTGATCCCGGTCACATTATAGTGCGAGCCTGCCTTACAGTTCGCTTTCCTTCAGACCATTGCAGGTTGGCTAGAAGCATGCCAATCGGCCATCACCGGAGGACTACCATAGCCCAACAGTGTTGACCGGAGGTAGCTCATTTACTCTTCACAGCAAACTAACACGGTACCGGTAGCCACCACGTGAATATGAAAGAAGCTATGGTGACAGCGCTCACTGCTGTCTGTTCGGCTTTTCTGATACGACTAAATAATCAATAGATATCGTTGAGATCGCTAGTCCTTATTAGTGTCAGGAAATCGATACCTGCAGACAACGAGTACGATGGCACACGGAAACCCCTCAAACGCCAGATACTGAAGAGACCAAGGAAAGACCGAGAGCGCTCATGGGTAATGGAAGCGCAGGAAGTGAAAGCTTTTTGCTACCGGAGACACCTTATGTCGCTTAGTACGATCGACTGGCAAAAATAAGTTAATGCTTAAAGAAACTACGAGTGCGAGGATGGCTCAGTGATTAATTCGCAAAAACACTTCGAGGAACAGTTTGACTGGCCTCCGGCAAGATTGCCTCTGATGATAGTGCATATGTGCAAATGGAATGTAAGCCTTAATCGCCCATCAGAAGGAGTAAGGAGCGAAACATCCCTGCTGAGGCGTGTGAAGGCACCAGGACCGGACGGTCCGTATCCAGTCTTTTTGGAAGGAGGCCTGGAAGCCTGAATTCCCTGTTGTCTTCAGCGAAAGCCCTCCCCATTCTCGGGCCTTGGGAATCCACCAGCTTCCTCTATCATTCTTCTAGCTCCCAAGTACCCGGTGCTTGAGGAATCTGCGTGTGACATAGATGCATCCAGGGGCTACAGCATCGCTCCTCTCTTCACCGATAAGCGATGTGTCATCATCAGTGATTGTTATACTCACCGGAGGCTTCTTTGCGTTGCGCGTACCAGCTGGGATAGTGGACACACAGTACCAGAATTCCTCACCACCGTCTAGTTAGCTCTAGGGTTCCACGAAACTTCTCGAACCGTGCAGATGCTCTTTCGACAGAAGTTTGCGAGTCTGTCGAGTAGTGTTGTTCTCTTTACCAGGAAGAGTACATGTGCTATCTTAGAGCAATTTTAAATAGTTGTTTGAGATCTAGTGCTTAGATTTAATTACGCCGTTCCACAATTCGAGCGTCCAGAATCTTGCTGGTTTGTGGATAGTACCCTCCAGTTGAGTCAACGTCAGAAGTGTTGTCCGAAAGGTACTAGGTGAAAAAAATGTTCAGGTGTAACACCGTTTCGGTGCCTAGCTGCCATATCACCTGAAGGAAGCAGAAGAGCTAGGATACTGCCAGATTGCCCAAGCCTAGATATGGAAATCGAGATGCGGAGATGGGATTCGGTCAGTAAATTCGCGCTCTGACCACAGCCACCTAGCCCGTCCCCCCGAAAGCGACTTCAGTACATGGTTTTACTAGACTTGATTTACATCAGGATGCAAGACATTCCCAATGGCCGGCCGAGATGTGCACATCTTGCAAGTCTTTGAAGAGCGTAACCAGAAGCAGTAGCGAACAAGCGCGTGATTCGAACCTACTTAGGGGTTCCAAAACGAGCGACAATCGTGAATAGATGCATGCTGCCTATTGCTACTGGCAGGGGTCCATCTGTGTTATAGGTTGGTTTGACGTGGGGAGCACCATGTAGCCAAGCGTCTTTGGTCGTTTCGAGAGTACTGCACACAAACAGTCTGTGGTCATAAAATAACTGAAGCAGACGTTCTGCTTTATTCTTGTGTCTTGATTCCAGTCCTTTATGAATACCCAGTTGAGCTTCAGCAGCACGAAGACTACATACTCGTGCATCCGTATAACCGGTAACCTTGACAATGTCAGCTCTTAGCCTTCCCTAACAAAGCTCTCGAAGCGTCGTAACAACTATCTTTGGGTGTAGCAGGGCTACAGTCTTTTGGGGCATTGGCAGACAATGAACGCGATTATTGGTGCGTCTGCGGGATACTCTCTCAGTAGTCACCAACCGGGCCGCACAGGGGTGACTGTCAACGGACAGCCATTCAACCGGAGATCCTTCCTGTGGGTGGCTTAGAACAATACCAACTTCAGTAGAATTAGCAGCGGTGCTTTCCGGATCACTAGAGGCGCAACCGAAGGAGAGCGGAAGTTAATGGGGAGGTGGGTTCAACAACCGCACTTTTTTTGAATTCTCGTTTCAGGCAGACAGCATAAATCAATGGGGAGCGAGTCCGGCGTACTTTCAAGAGCAGTTTGTTGTCTGGCTTTTTTCGGGGTGGAAACATTTAGGATTCTCTGGTGAACTGAGTACCGGATTTGGGTGTGAGGTTTTAAAGTGCCTGGCCATGGCGTCCGATTCAGCTGTGGACATTACTGCTAGCAGCAATAGACGACTAAGCGAATGGGCCTAGAAATAGGGTAAGGAGGGGGAGAAGAGAAAATATGGAAAAGAGGAAGGAAGGAGTATCAACGAGTAGGGCGACCAGCCTAATCACACCACGCCTATGGCACTACGTTTGATGTGGCATGAGATTCTCTGTAAGTGTGAAATTCGTGGTTGTACATAGACTGGATTACTGCCTGGGCACCCAGGCCTAGAAGAGACAATGACTAGGGTCCTCTATCAAAGTGGCTTTCATGCTGTCATTTTCTTAGACTGTTTGGTTGAGTGCTTGCATCTGCAGGCTTGCGATGAGCCAGCACCAGATCCCTCAGCCACCCACTTTTTTCGTTTCATTTCATGACTATAAGTATAGTTAACTAAGCCTTGCACGACAGTCAGCGAACACTGATATTGCTCTCTCTGGTGATGGTAATGCTTATGTTAATGTTTTACTGACGGGCCCATTTCATTCCAAATGTACCTTGAGGATCTCGTCCTCTGGACGTGACTTGAAGTGACCGTGTGTTTCACTGTTCACTGACTACCTTGCGTTTCCAAGTACCCGGAACCCTCTGTATCAGGTCGCAACTTGGGGTCAACCTTTAATTTATCACAATCAGACACAAATTGACCACGTTGCCACCAAGTACTATGCAGGACGCGTATTTAAACCATAGTAATGCATTGGCATGGGACTGTGTTTCTGTGTAAAGGGCGATTGAAACGTGTGAGATATGACGTCATTAAGTTAGCGTAGATTCGTAGTGTTCTTTCCAACTGCATTGGACTCTAAACTACTGAGGTGAACCCTTACTTTCTTCAAGGAGCAACGACCTTTACAGTAGGAAAATGTAGAAATGGTAGGGGTTTGGGCCCCAGAAACGACCGAAAAAGTGTGCGTACACCTTATAACATCAACAAGGTAAATGCATCTGAGATTCCTGTCGGGTTAAGACTTCATTATTGCTACTGATCCTACGTCGTTTGCGAACGTCAATCAACATGATGTCAGCATACGAAAACGGACAAGCGGTAGCTAGGGCGTCCGTCCAGAAGTTGATGGCATTCTCGCCACTGGAACCGGTTTCGTACCATGTGGAGAGTAACGGTAGCAATACTTTTGAAGATGTCTGAAGTCTTCTAATCAGAGGGACCAAATCTGGGAGCCGTAGAATATGGATGCTCTTTCAGGTGCCTTGTACACCGATTAAATTCGTTTTTGCCACCACGAATGACAAATTGGAAAAGGTTACCCGCGCTTTGGTAAGGCGCGCACTTTTTTCTTTCTCATCAAGTTCACGGATTATGCCTACTTAGCCTAATAAACCTAGTAAGGCCAACAACCTCAAGTCTCTTCCTCTGAACTTTCATTGGGAGTGGAAGTTCAAAGTAATCTTTTTGAATGCATCTTTCTAATCTTGGGCAATTTGGCAGCGTCTCAGCCGTCATACTTGGGGTTGCACGGCAGCTGTGCACCGGAAGGGCACCGCGCCTGGACCCTCGGTGTTCATCTGAACATGCAGCTCAGTACGGTCAAGGTTGACTTACAGCAACTCGGTCTCCATGCCGTATACGGACTTCGTCACTGGACTGTTCACTGGAATACTATCTGTGTAGGCCTGACAACCAATCGCTGCTCATGGGCAGCTGCTGTCTGAGACATTCCTGAACCTGCCTCATTGTGCCAAAGGGGTGATCGTTTAGGTATAAAATATGAGCTCTTCTATTGTTCAGACGAGTATATTTTTGTCCAGGTGCCCATTTTTTAAAACAGGAACCCAGTAAAGCAGCTCTTGTGATCTTTGTACCCGTTGACATCCAAGAAGCATCTGAATTTCGCTTCTGTATTTCGTCTTTTACGAAGGTACCTTTATTCGGTCATCCAGAAAAATCCGACAGTCACTGAACAAAACTCAGAAACGATCGTTGAGGTTGTCCGGTTGGTCGCTGAAATCCTCATTTGGGGTGATCAAAATGACAGCACTGTTATGGAGTAAGCTATGAGTGTCTTTCACATGTCGCAGCTTCTTTCTGGAGAAAAACGTTTTAGAATACTTTCTTAAGTATGTGAAACAGAACCCTGCGCGAAAAGTTTGTATTCAGCTGTTACAAACCTTGAATATTTTGTTCGAGAATATCACGAATAAAACTGCCATATGTAAGTAGCCTACTATTGGTTTACCCATTCTTCACCGCTACAGATTACCTGCTATCGAACAATCATACTAATGAAATAATAGCACATCGATTCGATTTTGCTGATGAGGAGGTGACCATCATTTACATACCATCCAAATCCATTCCATCGTCTTGTCTTTAGATTGTGGCCTACTACATATCATTTTTGAAGACTCTTTCGCTCCGGTTAAATGCGAATACAATAAACTTTTTCTACCTGGAAGTATGCATTTCCGTCAACTCCTGTCCAACACTCATGTACTTTTGTGTAGCAGCGTCGAGAGTTCGATTTATATGTTGAAGCAATCAAGTTATTTTGCCATCCGGAAAGTATGGTTCGCATCGCTGTGCGTACGATTACATTGAACATTCATCGAGGTGGGTGTTTCGCTATGGATTTGTAACCTCCCTGTATGTAGTGAAGGACGAAGGATCTCTGGAGTTCATTCATCATCAGACCTCGTTGCCGTATTTTTCCTGCTTAGTCTGGTCGCTTGGAAACACGATTTTGGATATTGATGCCTTACTCCGATCCGATATGAGGTGACTGCTTACTTTTATATCCTCTGGGTTAACAGGTGCAGTAAATTTGGAAACTGGGTTTCGACCTCTACTCTTCATTTCACTGTGTATAGCTTACTAACTTATTTACGTGGCTATTAACCCTTTCTTTATTGGGTCGCAATCCAGACGCAATAATAAAGCCTTTATGGGCAAGGTCACTGTTGTAACTTGCTGAACGGTAGTGCAACTCTGTATCGGTCCCTTGGCTTCCTGCTTCACCCACTAGGGTATATCAAAAGGCACGGCAGCTCTAGACAGCCCTTTATGGAGACAAAGGAAAATTATTACAACTGTATTTATAAGGTAGTCACAGTGTGTTCCACAAGTTCGTGCCAGAATCTCCTTGAGGGGGCGAAAAGCGTCGAGTCACAGGTGCTTGATTCGGATTGGCTGGCATTCTGACCAATCAGGGTGTGCCTTCGTTTGGCCCGTGTCCTGCACGTGACACATCCGTCCAAACGATGTGCTGTTCGGTTATTAGGGACGGCTGGCCCCCGAACAGTCACGGACGAAGATCTCTATTTTTAGGAGTTGGTTGGATGCTTATAACCTTCAGTTGGGACACTCCGGAGCCCTGCTTTCTTGCTTTGCTGTGAGTAGTGAACAAATATTTGACATAGCAAGTTCGGGCTACTTACCAGCAGTGGTCTTCAGTGATCTTAGTAAAGTTTGACGAACTTCACGTTACTGAAGCGTCTGTTGTAAAAGAGTCACATGAAAGCTTGCGTTTCCTACAAATGTCCAGAGGACAACCGCGGTTTACTGAACCAGGCGCCCGCCGTTTGCTGCGTTGGCTTTTGAAGGGAAATCCAATGTCGTCGGGTCCTTTAGTTTCAAAGACGTTGTCAATCGAACATTGCTAGTGATATTTGCCACCAGTATGACCAGTACTTTTGCATATTAGTAATCTTTCAAGTTAAGGAATTTTACTTAACTTCCACAGCTTTCTTTTGGCAGAAAACCCTTATCATCTTTCCTTGTGTAATAGTCCGTGATTGAACATCGCATACTCCGAGGAACTTTACGTTAGTTTTCACGCTTTTCTCGATTATTCCAACCCTATTGACTGTGGTGGCTCGATCATCTTATGCGCACGGCTAAACATCGTCCACCGAAAGACAGGGGTTGTTCTCAGTGCACCTTTTAGGATGACGGAAACTGCAAGGTGGACTGTTTGTGACTTAGCAGAAGGGTGTGAGAGATGACGGAGTGTTTTGATGATACTGGTTCGGTCCGCCTTCTTGGATGAGGTCCTTGTGACTCCTCAGAGCTTGGCTTGGAATATTGCAGGAAATGGCGGATAGTCTGTGCCCATGCTCTTCGTGCTGTCAGCTCCTTGCCAGTTTGTCTGATGGAGCTTTTGGCGTTTTAGGGACCTCAGAGTGATTGTGACAGTCTAGCGCCGTTCTTATCCATTCTTTTATCTTCATTTCACTTATAGGCCTTAAATGTGATGAAACAAACTTTGTTGTTGTCCTGCAGTGAGGCATGTGTCAGTACTGATTTTGTTGTCTGATGAGGATTATTCTTTTGTTGTTGTTGTTGCCGCTGCTGATAATAATAATGGCGTATTGTTCCGTCTCGGGGTTGGATAGAAAAACCACCTGTTCAGCTTTAAGCCAGTTGATCTGGTTGGCATTAGAAAATATTGTTCCCGAACTTTCGCGACGAACGTAATGCACGTCTTACTGAGGGTTTTCAAAGTTTACCGCCGTTTCCTAACACCATGAACTCTAGTTTAGTCTGCATATTTTCGCCTTCAATGCTCTGTTCGACTAGATTGTTCGCTATTCTCCTGTCTCGGCTCAATTTCCATGCCTAGACTGTTATTCCACCTAAAGATATTTGCCGAGATCGCGCTCATTCCTTTTGAGTACGACATCTTGGGATTGTTTGAACCTGCTGCCAACAAAAGTCCGTTTACTTGACACGTAATTCAAACAACCTCTTTGTGGCAACCAAATGGACTACCCAAATGCCTTGAGGTGGTTTTTACCCCATAGATGTTCATCTCCTCTGAAATATCAAATGGTAGCACAGAAGCCTCATTAAGTTTAGTTAGTGCTTCCTTGTTCGTAATCCTTGTATCGCTCGATTAGAACTGGTGCCGCTGTAAGCAGCATAATATGCTTAATTGAACTAGACCACAAATTAATGGGTGTCTTTCCACAGTTTCATTTTCCTTTGGCGTGTGTAACAACACAGTAGGAATGGATCCCCTATGTATGGCGGACCTCTAAAGTGTTCAGGTGACTGGTTTTTCCTACATGCACCTGGTGCTGAAGTTTAGGACGTTTGTTATATCCTTTTTTTACCTTCCGCAGCATTCATTATCGAACAAGGTTGGATGATTTGGTCGCAGAACATGTGGATCTGTTGCACTACGTGAATGACTTGTTGTCTCTCAATATCGAGGGATTAAATGAAGTGCTCTGTGATCAGTTATTGCATCGTCTCCTCATACCCCTGCACATATTCTCCCTGACCCAACGGCACAGGACGTACGACACAGAAGGCAAAGTATGTTGATGCCGCTCAAGTTGCTTTGGCTTATGTGATTGAGGGAGCTCCTAATATCTTTACTTCCATCAGTCTAATGGCCGTATCTTCTCGCTAGTACTGCATTTTCTTGCCCCATACATCCAATTTCCCTCGTTGGTTATAAAGTCGGGTGCGTACTTTCCTATCCTTTGCCTGTTTTTGCTTTCGTTTTTCAGCGCATACGACGACCTCATGTGTCTCATCCTGTTTCATCGCTTATGCTCACACACGTCTACATCATACTAAATCACCAGGATGTGCTGCGCGTTTTGACAGAGGCAATTTTCCTTGGTGACCCTAGTCTAACTGATCTACTCCCAAACACACGCATCTCCAAAAATAAGTCAGGTGTTGGAGATTTGGAGAAACCCTGTCAAAGTTCCCCGCCTGCTAGCCAACTTTTTGATTCAAATCAAAGTGATGAAAGTTTAGATGACGAAAGTTCCGACAACTCCGTTCAGCCGGCTCCAGCTATCCAAATTGCGCGGTCTCTTGTGGCAGCGACCAAAGCTGTCCGAGCCGCCCGGAATTCTGCGGCTGGCAGCCGTTTATCGGCGTACATGGCAAACACCCAAGAACTGCATCGTCATCCTTCCTTTGCTCAACCTACTCAGTCGTTAGAAATGGGGCTTAAGTATGCTAAAGGTGTCACTCCGGAACTACTCAAGAGTCTGTGGCCATCAGATTTGGCACCACTCCGGTTGAGTGAGCGTGGGGCGAGCGTAACAGTAAGTACATTTGTATCTAGGTTAATCTTGTTATGAATATTTTGGCCGTTGCCCATATTTCGTGCTTTCCACACTCACACTGACTAATTAGCTTAGGCTTTCGACATTTGAATACCAGGTCGATTTAAGTAGGTGGTCAGCAGTGGTTGATCTCCAAAACCCGTTTATTTTGCCTCGTGCTTTACTATCATGCAACTCTTGCTTAGCACCTAGTAATAGGCCGGTATATTTGTGTTCTAGCCCTTTATGTCCATGTGCTTGCGGTTTGTAAATGGAAGCATAGTATAAAGGAAATACATATTAAGCAACATTCAAGAAATATTGATTTTGAGTTGTTCGTTGATTCAACATTGCGGAAGGTGCTGTCATTCACCGTGTTGATGCAGCTGACTGTTAAACCACAAGGCAACTACCATTTTGAATCATTACACACTTGATTACCATCCACTTGTTATGTCGTATGTCATAGTATTCGTTGATTCTGTCAACCATTAAGCCACTTTTAATTTTTTCCTTCTTTGATACCCCATTAACGGCTTAGGTGCAAGATATTTATTCGATTCACTCGATCTCGTCTGTTCCGTACACCACAGTGCATCGTAGACTGCCTTTTTAGTCAATTGTCTGTCACTATTCTTCTTTGCGAACTTTTGAAGTGGTATTCGTTTCGCATCAAGTGAGGGTTAATTCTGGGTTTTTCACATCGACTATTAAGCTGTTGAGCCTTCAATATAGATATATCCTCTGAATATAACCTTTTACCTGTAACATTCGATGGTCTTCCGTATAAACAGTCCTCCGGCTGCCACGCCCATGCTGTCATTTTCTCTTAGTCCGCCGCACGGGTTTGATCAACTAAGAATAGATAAGTTGACGACTTCTGCGTGTCAGATAGATAGATGAACCATTTACCACTCGTTCCCTAGTGAGGAGGGAGTGTGGGAGAAGGCCGGTAAGCGAAGAGGTGCAGACAACAGGTGCACCCTGTTTCAACTTATTCAATCAACCAGTCAAAACGTGGGAGAAGGCGGTAAGCGAAGAGGTGCAGACAACAGGTGCACCCTGTTTCAACTTATTCAATCAACCAGTCAAAACGAGGCAGGTGTTAGTGAAATAATATGCGACAAGACGGAACAGCAATTCACTCCGTCATCATCTTGAGCGGTCACCTGAGTACTTCAAAGAACAGTTCAGCTGGTCTCTTTCAACACAACCACTGGAAGAGCCCAATGAAGCCAAATGGAACATTGACACCAACCCAGCATCAGCGACCGAAAACCAGCGTGAGGTCCTGGGACGCTACAAGTTCCGGATGGCCTGCACCTAGCGTCCTTCACAGGAGTTGGCGGAGTCCTGGTGAACAATCTAACAATCATCCTGCAAAATATTTGGAACGAAAACAGATTTCCAGTCGGCTGGAACACCTTGACTGTCATCCCAACCTTAAAAATGGCGTAATGCATCATATTATCAAACTAATATCCGCCGCATCTAAGAGGATCTCTAGAATTATTTTGCGCAGGTTGGTCGGTTATCGGGAGAGACAGATTCGTGAGAACCAAACTGAGTTTCGCGCTGATTGAGGATGCATCGATCATATCTTTACGTTTAGACAAATTCCTGAGCAGCATCACTTCTTTAGACGTCACACTGGTCGTTTCTTCTTGATTTGAAAGCTGCTTTTAGTTCAGTTGATCGTCAGAAACTTGAGCTGTGTCTTGTGACCAAACATATCCCTTCCGAATTTATATCCCTTATGAGGGCACTATATGCAAACTCCTGTGGGTTCGTACAAGTACACGGGAAGCTTTTGCCTGAGTTCAACAGTGTGTAAGACGAGGCTGCCCTCTCATTTTTCCTCTTCTAACTTGTTATTGATATGCTGCTTAAAATTTTTCTGTCTGTCTCTGAAACCTCGGGGGTCAAAACGTCCCCGAGACATCCGCTCACAGATATTGAGTGTGCGGGCGATATCGCTCCCCTTCGTTCAGATTTTCCCCAAATACAAACGATTTTAAATGACCTAAATAACACTGTCGCACGCTTTGTTACGCGCTTATCGTCTGCAGAGTGTAAAATGCTGCTTCAAGACTGGGTGGGACCAACACCAAATCCCATGCTTGCGGACGAGCCAGTCGACGTGGTAGATAAATTTGTTTGTCTGAGCAGTTATCTAAGCTCGGACGGACTGCTTGGAGATGAGGTTACTTCTCGAATCGGCAATGCCAAGTTAGCTTTTGCCAACCTCCGACACCTGTGGCGCCTACGTGAGGTCAGTTTGTCTGTTACGGGCAGAGTTTATACTGCGGTAGTGCGATCCATACTGCCATAAGGATCAGAAACGTAGCCTCTAGATGCAGAAGGCATGCGAGAGATGTCATTGACCATCGGAGTCTCCGAAGTACATATGGTGCACGGTTTATAGCTGACTAATTGAATTGAATTGATTCGTTCCCTAATATCAATGCACCTGAGACAGAGCATAAAGTGAATGTGAATCACGAGAGCTGCAAATATATATATATATATATATATATATATATTGTGTAAAGTAATGTCGTCCAGCGGTAGCATTCTTTTGGTGCCCAGCTGCCATGCCACCCGAAGAAAACTCGGGGGATTAGATACTGACATGTTATCCAAGCCCATAAGCAAGCAGTCGAGATACGAAGTTGGTTCGAACCACGGACTTTCAGATCAGTAAGTTTGCACCTTGATCACTGAACTGTCTTCGGCCCACCCGTAAAAATGGGTTAGTATTTACAGGCGTGTTTTGGAACTAACAGCTTACAGTTATTGACTTCATTTTGGTGAGACCCTCCTTTTTGAAAATTCATATACTGTCTTCACTCGGAACTCTCCTGCAGTGGCGAGGAACACCTTCCGTCAGCTCCAGGCTTATACTGGCTAGAACCGTCGTTCGTATAGGTTATCCAGGAAGACCGATGAATTGTAGACCCAAGAGCTTGCATAAACCACATAGTTGGATTTCAAATAACACAGTACTCTGTTTCGCCTGTGTGAAGACACTGTAATTTGATACGGACGGTCTGTATTTCAGTACTTGCAGGAGGGTCAGGTCCCCTTCTGACCAATGAGGTATCGGTGCATTCGTTGCTATGACCTAATCGCCCGATATTAAATTACGGCCACCTGCGCACGGTAACTACCTTCAATACGGGACCATCAAATAGGCTTCCCCCTCATTTATGAACAATTTTTAGCTCCCCATTGGCATGCAAAGATTCCCATGTTTATTATGGGTATTCCTGGATTGGGGACTTGAAAAACCGACACACTTTCGAGATTTCACCTTACAAATGAAGTCGATCCAATCCAGGAAGCTGGAAATCGCTGTGTAGCTGTTTCATCCGTATTATTAATCGTCAGCAAAGCGCATTTCTCGAATCTCTGGAGTGATTCGAGTTCGAACCTTCTGGATGGTGGTTGGTCGCACTTAGGTAGGGTATAGTGCCACTGACCCTTCAACCATATAACTCATCACGTGTTGACTGTCCCCAGAGTGAAAACCTCAGATGGAATGCTCGCTTACCATTCCCATTGTTCTTCTTTCTGAGCTACTTTTAGTTTGTAGGTAGTATGAGATTTTCGAATTTCTTGGACTGCCCTGGAGATTCGCGGTGTGCACTGCTGACGGTTCTCCAGAAAGGTAAAATAAAAGTACTGTGCTAGGCTTTTCAGCATATGTTGGCTTCACTTGCAGATTTCCAAGTTACTTAATAAACAATCACTAGCCGTAATGCCCCTCAAATGGACCACTTTGCTAATCGATGGGTTGTTTTAACCCAATATCCGCCGTTATTGTCGAGTTTGTATGTGAGTTCAAGCTGCTAGCGCGCCTTTGCAATGTTCACTTCTTCTAAGCCGTGAAAGCGGGCCATCGGGTAATTATTAGTCGCACCTCATGCCTATACTTTTTGTTTTAGGCCGGTGTTTGCTAGAAGTCATATCATGACTCGTAATTGTTATTTATTACCGACGGAACCTAAATATGTCTTTGTTTCCATGTGTGTTGACAATGTTATTCCTTCAACTTTGTTATTTGTTATTTGCTTCAACTTGATGATTGTAAATAGAGATACACCTGCTTGCTACTCATGTCCCAAACTATACACTGTTCTGTCGAGATTCTAGGGTGTGAGCACAATATTTTAAGCCGATGGGCTATTACATTTACTTGATATTTTAAGGCGCATCGGATCCTTTCCAAAGACCTTACTTCATTTGCCCCCAGTCGCGGTTGCAGTTGTCGCCACTGAAAGATGCTATAACATAGAACGTTGGTATCCTACTAGCCATGCCTTAATACCGATGCTGACCAATCCCTGGACGGTCGGGATATGTCATATTTTAGCTTGACATTCCTCAGTGATAAGCTGTAGTGCCATTGCCCACGGTATGGAAATAGAGGTCGGCTGTAGCAGACATCATACACGTACCACACGCTTTCGCTTCAGATGGGGTAATTCCTCACACTACTAGGCTCGTTGTCGGTGCAGCTGCCATCCATAGGGATTTCCCAAAGACAAAAGATAGTTTTAGCCCAAGAATAACTGTATTGAGCAATTCCGGTTACCGCGTGAAGGTGAGCAGTTGAGCTGTTTTCTCGAAATCCCGGCAATAAATTTGTAGTCTACTGCATTAGAAACATTCCTACCATTGGTGGTGCCTTGACTCCGCTACAAGCAGATGTTGCTTCTTTGACATACTACACGTGTTCATGGTTTCAAACAAGGTTAAAACGACTGCTCCTCACTTTTTCATAATTATTGGTTGCTTTTTCACACAAATGTCCAGTGGATTCATCATCTACCAGAGATATCACAAGTGTTCATCCCACGCGCTCTCTTACTTTATAATAAGTGGCCGTGGGCATGCTACCATGCCTTTCTCCTGTTAAGATTTCCTGATATTTTTATAGAATATTCCGTTAAAATTTTTAGGATGACCTCTTGGAGATTTTCAAGTATCTCTATATAATTGTGAGAAAGACCCGACATCAAAATAAGAGATCTTCAAACTCTTGATTGGAACCCAGAACTGTACACTTCCCAGATCATCTTAAATTAAAATCAGGTTTCTTTAGGTTCACTGTGGAACACTTAGAGATCTCCATCCGGCCTGTCTGGAATTTTTCCGAAACAGCTTAAAAATGTTCAGAAATCCTAATACACAAGTGTATAACTGTATACACAACGTGATGCTTATTTACCACCAAGTCAATCTGGATGAACGTCTTGATACTAGATTCTTGCATTCCCCAAATCCAAAGCCACGTCTTCTCAGTAACCCCAGTACTGATGGCGGGTTTGACAGGTAAATTCCGAGCACTTAATTTCAGCAAGCGATAGTCCCGTTAAGGGTAAGTTGTGGGTCGATGTGGGTGACGTTCTGCCCACCGTTTCCGTTCTCACTTTCTGAGACGCCTTCCCTTTCCCGTTTTTCCCAATAAGAGTTTTCTTGTGCTGCAGCGTCACATCAATGTTCAGCATTGACAACATGGCCAGTTATAGTATTCCAGGGTATTCTGTTTACATTTTATCAGGGGGTCAATTTTTATCAAGCCACGACGAATCATTTGAATTCTGATATCATTACTGGTACTCGCAGCGGGCCTGTGGAGTAGCCAATTTCAAGATTATTGTTGTTATTCTTCCCAATTCTCCCAGTTTGTTCTTCATCCACTTCCATTTTTCAAGGAACCCCTACCTATTGTGGCAAAAAATACTGATGCGAATGCATCTGGTGTGACGAATGAGCCTGAGCAGTTGTCCGTTTCGAGTATTGGTAAGCTCTTATTTTATCCACTTGGGCAATTCATCGTTCTTCACTTCGGTTGCAAAGGCGATGGGGTGTGCTCTTTCGGAATGCTTTTTTATGGCTACCGGTGTTTGTGCCTGCTACCCACGTTATTTTTCATGACAGACCATCGGTTTGCAGCAATCCAATATGCCAATGTTCTCAGCGGCTACCGGTTTGAGTGACGTTATTTTTTCACGGTGCACCATATGCTCCTGCTGTGATGCAAATATATGAAGTAAACCAGTCCAGTACATTCCCTTCTTGAGATAGGTGCGGCCCGTGATCAACGATCAGCTGCAAAGTCCAAGGGTGATGCATCTAGTTTTTGCTTCGTTGCTCAGCTTCGTAGAAGAATTCGCAATCTGTTTAGCCGAGAGGTGGTAGATAATTGTTTTATCTTTGTTGCTCAGTAGTTAGGACGCAATCTTATTGATCAGAGAGCCCGTGGTTCAAACCCTACTCCCGCATCTAGACCGACCAGGCTTCAACAGCTTGGCAGTATTTCAGTCCTCGTGCCTGCAGGCACCGAAAGGGTGTTACAGCTGGACAACTACTACATTCCTGTTGATGGCCATCAATGGGGTGCAACTTACGAACCCCGCGTGAGAATAAATCCTACAACTTTTCTGGTTGGTTGCTTTCCGTAGCGCTGGCTGGTTACAAGTACAAATGTCTTGCAATTGTGTATGAAATGGTGCCGGTCATCCTCACTTACCTTAGCTCTTTTTGAATCTCATCATTGATGTTTGTTATAGTCGTCAATTCCTCCACGGCAAGTGACCTCTGCGATGGTGACGTTTTTGTTATTCTTGAGTTGTCCATGAATGTTTCCCGATGATTTAGCGTTTGGAACCTTTCTGTAAGCGAATCAATGCATTTCCAATACATCTCACGTTGTTCTTCAAATATTTGCTCTTCAAAGCCAGTTTTGAGGAAAGCGGCGAAGCTGTTTTCATTCAAGAGGACCTTAGAAGCCTTCCTCTCTGATGATAGGATAAATCTCGATGGTTCATTTGAGGGACTACACTACGTTCTTTTGTTGATTGGTTCAGTTGGCTCACTCATAGATTTAGAGTGAGTCAGGCATCTGAGGTTGCTGGTACTGATATCCAGGTCACCCTCCCTTGGCTCTTGATTCTTTCCTTCATTCGGCCAACCTGAAGATCCCGTTTATGAACTTCGGTGTTCACGTTGGCCGCTTCTGTTCGCCTAGACAGTTCCAAGGACTACGTTTCAAAATTTGTCCCAAAATGTGGGTGGTCATTCTACCTCACATGCCATTTCTCGGTTTACTTGCAGTTATGGTGACGACTGTGTTGACAAAACTGATCGGGGTCTTTCTTAAGGGATCTAGGACATATTCCAAATAACTTGCTACGGATCTTGCAGCACAACTAGTCAACGTCACCAGCCAGAGAAACTGGAGTGATCGATGGAGAAACAGATATCTGAGACGGGCCACATGATTAGCCTTTCTCATATTTCCACCATGCGGGTACTCGAAAGAAACCCGCAACTACTAGTTTTCTGTGAAGCGATGTTGGTAAAGGCATACCAACTTAGCTTGTGTGCAACAATGTTTAATTCAAACTGGCCACCCATTCCTAAACAGCCTAAACCATTCCCTGTCGTTCAGTGTATTCAGCTCGTTTTGCTATATCCGTTATCTACAGATGTTGTAAGTTTTACTTCCACAACTGATGAAAGTTATTTAAAGTGTAAACCTCGGTTTATGCCAACAGAAGATTTCCAGTCAACATAACTGACGCCTGACCCTAATGTTACCATGCATACAGTAGGGTACTTATGTACTAACATAACCGTTATCTTCTCAGCCCCCATGTTTGTTTTGTCTTTACTGAACGTGCGGATATTTCCATTTCAAGAGTTATTCATTCACCTTGATGCAAGTAATCAACTTTTCACAGATCGGACATTGACGCTCACCTTATTCCAGACAACCTTCCTAATGCATATTAGGCACCATTCGTTTGTCCCTTGTGGATTTCCTATGTGATCTTATCAGTTATCTGGTTGGTCAGTCGGGTTTTATCGTTCAGAACTACATTTTTCAAAACTCCTCCAAGGTAGTATTAGTTTTATCAGCATACCTCCGCGCATACACTTGCAGGGATAGATTAGTGATTCTCCATCTTCCTCTTTGTTGTGATGATGACGACGTAGAACTGCAAAATCTGTCGTTTCTCCCAAATGGTGACCAAATCCACAAACGATTGATATAGGTTGTTCGACTGCAGTGAAAATCCTACTTCTAATGTTTTTTTATCAAGCTGAAATGCGGTGATCAGTGGTGCGTAAACAGTGTATTCCTGTCTGAGTTTACGGCTTCCATGATAATAGGGCCGAGGTTTGGAGTCCAGAGGTAGCGTACAAAAAGTAAACTTCATTCACTCTAAGGTTTGAGTTTTTCCGTAAATTGTTGTCATTTAAACTCTATTTCCTCCTTCCTAGTCTGTTTCCAAAATGAAGTCAATTCAGTTTTGTACAAAGATCAGTTGATACGTTCGGACTTTTTAACCTGGTTGATTATTCTCTTCAATATCCAAGGTTTAACTGCAATCTTTCCGGATAAACCCGTTAAAACTTTTATTCCGATCTGAAGATGTTTTTGCCTTTGTGAAAGGGACATCATCTAGCTCAGCCCGTTTTATTACATGTTTGCATCCGTCCTTATGTTACTACGGATCCACTGTCTTCTTCATCGTTCATTTAACTCCAACCCTAGAAGACTCCTCCACAGGAGACTCGAGCCAGCAGTCCCACTTCCCTAGTATGGTGGACGACCAAGGCCAGAAAAGAAACCAACTACTATTGTCCACCAGTTCAACTCCTTCGTTTCATCTGGGTCCTCCGGTTCATAGTACACCAGTTCCCTGCACGGTGTCTCAGGATGTTCATTCGGTTTCTGAAACATCCTTCAGTCTGAATGGCCGCCCATTCCTTCGCTCACTATTTCGTGCACTTGAGGTTGGACCAGGCACAGACTACGAGACTCTGTTCGCCCTTTTACTCTTCTCATCCATTCGTGCCAATTCAGGTGAATATTTTCCAGTGTCCCACATCAAATGGCTTATCTTCATATTCAAAGGGTTTCTTATTATTCGCAAATTAATTTGATTCTTTCACTCCCATTTATCAGTTATTGCTTGACAATGAGAGTGGTTTTGAATTTGTCACAATTTTGTCTTACAAGTGAATGACAACCGCACAAGGAGGTCGATGGTCCATATCACAAGGGAATCTAGCAATAACTACAGAATTGTGGACAGAAATCTGTGTGATTTCGTCATACTGTTATTAATTTGTTAGTACGGACGCTCATTTCCATCAAATGTATAGTAGTGTACGAAGTTTTTAAATTTCTGAATGGTTAACATCACCAGTCAATCTTCCCCAACTGCAAACAAAGGATGGTGAGGCGCCTTGCACAAAGTTTGGAGTGGATATGATTCACGTTAGAGCACAGTATTTCCCTTCACATACCACTCTGTTTAGTTTCGATTCTAATTCGTCTGAGCAGTGGGGCCACTTGGGTAGGTTTAGATGCGCTTTTTTCTCATTGGGTTTCATGATTTCTCGGCACCAATAGGTTCCCGGTGTGCTTAAAAAATATGAATGAAAAAAATATCATGGTGATGATGATGATGATGATGATGATGAAAAGCAGGGCAGTATGACGAAGAACAGAACGTGTACTCAGTGAATATCTTTCCAGTTTATATATTCTTCGGATAGAGCGGGGTAGCTCAGTGGTTGGAGCGCAAATTTACTGACCGGAAAGTCCGTGGTTTGTACTCGACCTCTCCCTATTGACTTCCCCTGTCTAGGCTTGGGCAACCTGGCAGTATCCCAGCCTTCGTGCTTCCTTCTGGTGGCATAGCAATTAGCCACCGAAAGGGTGTCACAGCTGAATGATTATCCCTATATGTGCGCTGGGAAGGTCATGCTAGACCACTTTTTTGAATACCTGATAGCATGAGCACAGTTAATTGCCTATTGGATAGCGTTCTCTCTTGTGGTTTTGAAACACAGGACGACTTACGATTGATGTCACAAATGCTTGAATAAGTTATTCTCAAAGACTCACTGGAGATATTTTAAAAGCTGTTGTCGTATTTTTAAACTGTTAGACTATATGAGGTCAAATTGTGGTTGGATAGTCTTATTCGTCCAAAGACTCACACACCACCCAATCTCAAATGATGTAGTGGAAGTGTGGAATGACTGAATTATTCACCTCACTACTTCTGGCATTGCTCTTTCTCGTTCACGATTTCCTAAAATTTACTTTTTTAGGTATCGACGTCCCAACACTCCAATTGGCATGCCTGTCGGACCCAAGCTTGGTGAGTAGGAAATATATGACCATGGTGATGATAGTTTTCCTTTGTCTTCTTATGCTGAGAACTAGAATAGGTGTTTCACCCTGGTCAGTATTATAACATCTCACCAGCGAATCAAGTTTGTGACAGATCAGTATCCTATAAAGATATCGTTTGCATGCTCCTTAGTGCACTGATAGTTGGTGCCTACTCTCGGGTTGTGAACATTGGTAACCCGCAATGCTGCTTTTTCTGTTTTCGGCTTTCCGTGGTAAATTTGTACTCTTCCAGAGAGGGCAACTGTGCTGACATGTTTTTTCACTAAATGATCTCCACGTTTACCTTGCAGGATAACGGATACCGATATGACAATTTACTAATCGAAAGGTTGCTGGGACTCATCAGCGATGCCTGCAAAGCCAGTAAGTGCGAAATATCAGGTCTGGGGGGATGAGTTACTATCACGAATTTTTCACACCACTTTGTTTCGGGTTAGTTACTACTGATCGGAGTTGAGTGTCCATTATTATCTGTCATTGAAGTCTTTTTTGGTTTGTTAACTGAAGGCGCAAAATATTCAAAGACGACAGTTAATATTCACGTAAAGCCAATAAAAATTCAGACTTGGATAAACTAGTCAATTTTGCACTGAAGGATCATCCACCCACGCCAAAGACGTTTCATTCCGTTCGTCACCTTTTGGTACAACGTTTTTGGTGGTTCTTGAAAAGAAACGTATTTTGACATATTTTGACATTTTCACTGGAGGGGCACGATTCTAAGTTTTTTGGGGACTATGAGCTGACGCACATGCATCAGAGGATTCCTGTCAGTTGAGGATACGATCCTTATTCATCTATAAAGCTACATCATTTAATGAGAACTGTGAGGCGATTAGACTAGATTATGTGGTTGTTTCTGTGGTGTTATCAGATGACCACACTGAAACATTAACTCGGTCATCTGCACCACGCTTTCAGGTTGACAGATTTCACTCCTTGGTATCCTGGACTGCACAGGAAAACGAACAAATTTAGATCGACCAGTTGATGGTTACTCAGTCGATCCGATGTGCGGAAAAATAAAAAAAATAATATTGATACACCCAAATATCAGTAATAATGTAGCAGTGCTTGTGACCCTGTGCTCTAACCTTGAATGAAGTCGAACAACCACCTCCACCATAATCCTCGTCGACAGTAGCGTATCTCAACATCGCTGATTCGATGTTCCCACCAGACGCGACCAACGCTGCGTAGACCCCGATGATCGAACGTTAACAACTTTCCTATTCCCTCTGCGCGTAGAGGCTACGTTTCTGACGCATAAGGTAGTATGGATAGCCCTTGACAGCTAAACTGAGGTTACATCGGCGTCATAGGTGTCGGATGTTGGCAACAGCTGACCTGGCCTTACCGATTCCAGAAGCAACCGCCTTTGCAGCCAGTCCACCCGAGCTTAGATAACTGCCCAGGTGAACAAATTTATCCACCACGTCGATTGGCTCGTCTGCAAGCATGAGATTCGGGTTTAATCCCACTCAGTCTTGTAGCAGCACTTCACACTTTGCAGGTGAGAAGCGCGTACCAAACCGTGCGACAGTGTTATTTAGGTTATTTAGGTAACTTTGAAAAGTTTGTTGTAAACTCTCACCCTACCAAAATTATGAGAGTAGACAGGACGGATTATATTCACAATCTTCGGAAAATCTAACTCATCTTCGGAGTTAGAGGCTCATTTAGATTCTTGGAAAACCGCAATCGTGGAAATGTGATCAATGCGTCCCCTGCCGGACCAAACACTCCTTACTTCTCTCGGATTCACTTTTAACTTGGTTTGTTTAGCGGTCGCAATGTTACAGAAGCTATGATTGGCGTTAGGCCGATATCTCTTTGGTTAGAACGCTGTACTTTAGGAATGATGACTGGGGGGGGTCCCGGAAACGTTCGTGTTCCCAAATATGTTTAGATAATGTAGTGAATACAGAACACAAAAATGCACCGCTGTGTTTAGGTAACGTTGGTGAATGGTCATCCATTCCGAAAGCCCCATGCCATTTCAAGGTAGAAAACATTTTGTTGCTTTAGCTACCACGGGAGGATCTAAACCCACGTACCACGGCTCCAGCTGAACGGATCGAATCTAGGGAGGCAGATAAAAAAAAACCAACCGCTGGAAATATGCTGCCCATTGATCCAGAAGTTTCCTTCTGCTATATCCTAGGTTTGCAATCTTTACTTAGCTCACCAACAGATAATGTCTTGGGTCCTGTTGATTGGCTAAACCTGTTCGCTTTCGGCTACACTAGCCCTCTATTTTTTAGTTTACTGGCTATGTGTTTGGATTGACGTCTAACAGACCGTCTAGCCGGATTATGCTGTCCTACCAATGGGATAACATATAAACGTATAAAGAAGTTATAGTGAGCGTTTAAAAACCCAGTTGTTAGTATATGCGGGTAGGATGTGTGGCATACTTATTTTCCAGCGTCATGTTTAGTCGTTGCTGTCTTTCAAGTAACCATACTGGCTAAGGAAGTGGCCACTTTCAAAGCAACCCAATAGTTTTTGGTGTTTGCTTAATTTGTGGCTCAGGAAGCTTTTCAGTGGGTTCGCTTCTTATGTTTGTCTGGAGAAACCCGGCGAACATCTATGTCGGACGCGAGCATCATCCGAATCAAGGCGTATTTTCTAGGTCCATCGGCGATTGCTTATTGAATCTCGCCATCTGTAACTAGCTGTTAATTGATCGATCTTGTTCAGATGGAAGTGAACACTAGGTAGCCCAACGGCCGTCCACTATACCTAAACTTAGTACTGCTGATAAATACTAGGCGGTCAGCAGAGTTGAAAAAAAAACATTCATCTTTATCGATGCAGGATGGGTCACCATAATGCACATCGCATAACCTGAGCCGCTTTATTCGAGCAGTCGAATCTCCTGTTTCTGGATACCTCGCGGTAGACGTGATGCTGGTCATTTTTCGATAAAAAAATATCTTTCATATAATCAATGGTACAGTTAAGTTGGGTATAAGCAAAAACTATAAACAAAGAGCATTCATCATTCCGACCAGTGCTAGTTCTTATAAATATGGAATATTAAACAGCACAGGTTCAACTATTGGCAGATATTCAGTCGAGTAACGAATTCTCGGCACGCAAAGTGAATACTATGCCAACATCGGGGCAACCCGCGGCAGCATCTACAGGGTCACCCACAGTTCTTAGTCAATGGCCTCTGGATGGGGAGGGTGCCGTAAGTTCTTGTGTCTTATTTTCGGGTTTCAGAGATGCGACAGATGTCATCGACAAAATGTCTAGAGTACTCACAAAAGCAGGTTGTCGGTTGATCTACGTAAGAGTTTGCTCGTTGAAGTACGCAATAAAAAGGAGAACTGGGCCTGAATAGCGGATGCGAAGCGATAGGTTTGAGTAGTGGCTTGCAGTGTCTATTCCCTAGGTAACTGACTGATTGCTTAGACTCATCAAGCGTGGTCGTAAAGATAGGAGATAACAATGAAGAAGGATAGGAAGCTTCCTTAGTCGCATATTTTCGCTTATCTATCGCTATGTAGCGATTAAGTCGTCCCGGTTGATATCATCATGTGTCAGCCGATGTGGCGTGAAAGTACATTTGTTTGTGCAGTTCATTTTTGTCCGTGGGCTTAGGTTAGGGCATCCAAACCTAGGCAAGAGGATGATCGAAGTCCTTGGCGAGAGTTTCCTACCCAACCCCTCATGGAGTCCCACACTTGTTTCACCTATATGTCACCTACGTCATAAGAGTTTCCGTTAATTGTTTCATGTTTTAAACCAATTTGATATCGATTGCCTTAGAAGGAGACCCGTTAATGTGGACTTTCTCCCTTGCCCTGTGAAATACTTCTAGGGACGATAGACAAGGAGGTCATGAGTTATAATCGTCGGAACATCAAACTAAGTTCTCTCTGTCAATTTTGTCTACACATGTGCTCGGTCTAACCAACAACCGTCTATGAAAGAATCTCCTTTCCATATGTATCCTTTCTGGAGAGGTTCATGTGGACACAGAAGGTGACCATAACGTGGAAGGAAAACAGCAGCGGTCAAACTAAATATTGGATTTAGGTGATTACTCTTTCTCGTGGCGCCTAGCCGGTCTCAGGGACGTGCATGCTACCACTTCTTACATGGGCGCTCTGGCTTATTTTTGTCTATATCTTATGACCTGGTTCTTGTGTTTGAATACGGTTTGCAATAGTCCTCGGTAATCGCGATCCGCCAGCAATCCAGCCCAGTATTGAGTGCCTTATTCTGAACCATTAACCCACAGTTGGGGGCCTTCTGGCAACGGGTCTGCAACTTCCCCTTTCTTTCTGCATCTTGCTCGAGTGTGCAGTTGTGTTTGCACATGGATTGGTATGCTGTCGTGAGATTCAGCATAATGGGCTGTCCAGTATTTCTTCTGATTTCCCCTGCGCCGCCTTTTGCTTGACTTCTACAATCATTTTTCTGCATTATGGTGTTTATTGAGGTATTGATAAGTGTTTTCGAACCAGATCGGGTAGATAATGAACCTTGTGATTGAGGGGATCGTAGATAGATACCAGTAAAACAATCACTGCTCGCCAACCACTCATGGCCGGTTGTGATGGCATGTGATGGGTCCGGCAACCTCTAGAAACTCGTGAGATTCCTATGAAAGGTGATTTTCAACAAGGATAACACACCCTTGTAGTGCTTTTTGGCTCTTTTCTCATTGGTCGAGTGAGTGGGCTCAAGATGGCTCATTGGTTAAGATACGAACTTACTGACCTTAAGGTCCTTGGTTCCAGCTTAACCCCGGCATCTCGACTTCTCTCTAGGGTTGGGCAGTCGGTCAGTATCTCAGTCCTCATACCCTCTTTGATTGATATGGAAGCCAGTTGCCGCAAGGGTGTTACAGACAGACTAGTTTTATTTGTTTAGTGTTTCCGGCTTCTTGTCTGAGGATGCCGGCCGTGCACAACCGCTAAACATGGCAGTGCTGTGAAGTTACTGATCATCATCGTCAACCCTGGAGGCCACAGTCTGATGTATAATGTTTTCGTTGATTTTTAAGCCTTTTTTTATCATTCCCTTTCGCTTGATGAGCCGTGAAACTTATCACTATGTTACTTCTGGTTACATTTTCCGTTTTCACAGATAGTAGAGTTCGTCTCATCACCCTCTACATGGCGATTCGGTTACTCACAGATCTCTGCTGCACTGAAGTCAACGGATGTATTTTATCTGATGGACATTTTGCACAATTGCTCAGCGTGAGAGAAGAAGCAACTATGGTACTGCGCAGTTACTTCCGGGTACGTCTGTCACATTATTGCGTTTGTAAGGACCCATTTTCTCTTCTCGTCTCCGCGCTTGTGTGATGTAAAAAAACCAAGTGTTGACTATCATCCCGGGTGCATGTGGTCTGGCTGTGGCTTGTAAGGGAGTTGAACAATCAGTCTACCTATGAGTCCACCTGTGAATTTGCTAGGTGTTATATCTGACTGCTGTTCCCGCTCCAGTGTCTAGTGCCGGAAAAAGACTCGCCGATAGGAACACAACAGCTTTACTGCGAACAAGCGAGTGCATGAGTGTGAGTGCGAGAATACGATGGCCTCAACCTATTTCATTGGAGGGACACTGTCTAACCTTGCTCCAATCCTGTCTCGCGTTGTCTGGCTTCGATACAAGACCGCCACGCGCTGCGTATTGAGGGAGCGTTGTCTCTCTGATTAGCGTCTAGTGGAGTTGAGGATCTCAGTAGATTTCAAGCATTCAGTGGTTAATTTCAGGAATCTGACCTTCCTGATACCTGGTGGTCACCATTGTGCGTATATTTTTCACTTCGAATAACCTCTGTGGGCGTGGTCACTGAGGCTGCTCATTTGTGATGTTGCGTTGCTCTGTTGAGCTTTTGTATGGGAATGTTAAATATTCGGTTTCACTCTTTCCCTAGAAACGATGAAAGCTGATGATACTCANTACTCAGATGATTACTGCTGAAATCTCAAGTGCCCCTTGTAGATCGTTTGATGGGGTTAGTTCAGGAAAACACCGGAAATTCTAAAGTTAAGACACTTTTGTGAGCTGTGGAAGCGCTGTCCACAAAAGACTAACCAACACCATATATGTAAGTCAGCTATTGCATATTTCGAGTGGCTAAACTTCGATTCTTATTTGGTCAGAATTTCACATAGTACTCTAAAGATGCTCTTTCCGATATTTGATCCGTGTACATTGCCCAAATTGTCCAACTCTTCATTAATGAGTAAGCCGCTGAATGGTGTGTGAACAATCACACCAAACACGAGGAGAAGAAACAATGGAAGTCGCATACCTTTCCCTTGAATCGCTACCCCTCATTTTGCTAGCCCAGTTGTGCAGAGATGTACTCTATCGGGATACGCATGGCTGGCTGTTTTAAAACAGGATTTAGTGCAACTATATGAAACACGGACTTTCTGGCCCTGTTCTTTGGGCGAAATGGCTTAATTGGTTAGAACGCAAATTTACTGGTCCGTGGTTTGAACTCGACCTCTGACTATCGACTTCCTCTGTCTGGGCTTGGGCGACCTGGCAGTATCCCAGCCATCGTGCCTCCTTCTGGTAGTATAGCAGTCAGACATTGAAAAGGTGTTACAGCTGAACGATTTTTTGCGAAGGCCGCCAATCCCGTTGGCAGCTGCAGTATACAAAATGATTTTAGTTTGTTTCGAGTCAAAAGAAACCAGCATTAATGCCTGAATGGCTAATGCATTTCCTGGCGTGTTACAGCGAACGATTTTTTGCGAAGGCCGCCAATCCCGTTGGCAGCTGCAGTATACAAAATGATTTTAGTTTGTTTCGAGTCAAAAGAAACCAGCATTAATGCCTGAATGGCTAATGCATTTCCTGGCACCCAACGCACAGGCTAAACATGCTGCAGACAGTTGCTTAACAAGCAACGTTGATACCATCATCATTTTTGTATCAGATTGCTTTCGGCAAGTGATGTATTTTGCGTGCATCCCTTCGAAAGGCTACCATTTTTTCAGCCGATTCTAATGTTCGGCAAAAAGTCTTCATAAGGTACTGGTATGAGAAATTTCAATAGTTACTCACTTGATATTTCAAAAGCCTAGGATCGGGCAATGTTTTTGTGTTTTTCCCTCCCATAAAAACCTATGAATGTTGTAAAAACCTTGGTCGGCTGTGTGCTACGTTACTGGAAATCGTCCCCGTTCTGTGTGCTAAAATTTTTCTATTGTAACACCCGTCCCCATTTCTCTCTAACACTTCATATGCTTCATGCATTGTGATGCAAATGCACTGGATCATCAGTACAATGTCTTTCGCAATCTCACGACCATAGTTTATGTGAGGGCCCAACTGCTAACACGTGGTTTGTGATGGCCTACTTTAGACACTTCGGAGTATCTACACCACCAAACGCTCATTCAGACAATGCGGGCAGAAGCTAACAACGAGAACGTCATTGATACTGGCGTTCAGCACCTCTAACCAGGTGCAATTGGGATCAAACTAACCTACTCCCGAAGGCGGACCCAGACTTCCGAATCGCTATTATACCCTCTTGTCAAATTGACTATCTCTGCGTCTGCACCGCTCTGAATTATATACGGCCAACAGCACTCTTATCGGCAGCTGATGGCTAAACATGCGCAGTACACGACCAGGCAATCGGAACTTATAGTGCTGGACACATTCAGTTAAATTCTCGCGCGACAACCTGAATGTCCGTTTCCTACCTGTCCAGTTTTCGGATTCGTTGGCACCAGCCTGCAGATAACATTTAGCAAAAGTTGGGACTCTTCCGACGCAGCTGTGATGCCTTTTGGGAGGCGGGTAATTTGCTCGGTAAGGCATAAATTTTCCCATTCCCGCAGAACTTGCCCCGATGCACTTCTATGCAAATCTAACGTTGAGGATACGGTTCACACTTAGGACTGATGAAATTAACACCTCTGAAGCGAACGAAATGGTTATTTAAGAAGCAGAATACCTCACGTTATCTGTGCAGCGAATCCGAGACAGACACCGATTGACTCAAATCAACTAGTGTTTATGCACTTCGACTGCATTTTTGGGAGTTTTCAGTGTTTCCGAAAGAATTCGATCAAAAAGGCAAGCAGCTGTTGCTTATTTTTTCGCCTCGAGTTATGTACTCTTTGATATACTCTAGGATAAGGTATTGTTTCATTTTATTATTTATTTCATCCTGCTTCATACCTTCTCTTTTCCACTTAGAACGATGCAATTTTCTTAGACCTATTTGAATATGAACTACGTCAGATGCAAAAGCCCCCGTTGTCCTTCAACAAGTTAGCCATGGACTCCAGTCTTTTGATTCCTCCGCTGGCTGCCTCGGTTCTTCCTGGTGTTTCGCCCCCGAATGTGACAATTCGACTGGGTCATTGGAGACACCTTCCTCGGGTCGAAATGGAACACACCCAACGCGCGATCGGTGCCTACTTGCTTATCTATATTTGGGTTGAATCACTATTACGTGCACGATCCTCAGACGATGGACATCCTCACACTCATTTAGGAACCACCAAACTCACTAACAGTGAATGCATACTGTCCTCCAACAGACTGGCGGTCGACCTCGCCAGTATGCCTGGTCTAGCCGGCCTGGGCAATATTACAGATCCCAAAGCCTCGTCCTGTGTACACAAAGCAGGAGACAAATTAGATCTCTGTGAGTTCACTTCTCGCTGTGTATTGATTTTATTTGTGAATGATATTTCTGTTGCGTCTTTCATTTCATAGTCTTGGTTCCAAAGATGGTTGCCGTTCCAACTCAATAACAACAGTTTAGAGTAGGTTTCCGCTGTAGGACTGAAACAGATCGCGAACATCCCAACTTGGGGCTGTTCGCATTTATGCATCTTTAGCTTTATGCATAACTGCGTGTTTGGATTTCTTTTTCTGACGACTATTTTTCAGCACTATTATTATCCACCTTTTTTTTACCAAGTCCTTACTTTTCTAGTTTGTTCATCCGCAGCATATCCTTTGTTCAATTGTTTCAGCGTCAGAAGCCCTCATTGGATGTACAGTTGAAGCTGGAGGCAGGTGCGTTACGGCCCATTCATTGTGCTCTCATTTACACTGATTGATCTTACCCACTGACCTCCAAGTTGTTGCAACCTTTAAACGCACCTGGCCTTTTCTTGGCGGACAAAACTGTAGTTGTTTTTCTACTGAAGCCAAGTGGCTCTGCTGCAAACAATCCAGACTACTCGCGAGTAGCTAGACCCTCGGTACTTTTCTGTGTGCTGCCGCTCCCGTCCCATCCTTCATGGACTTCGATCAGTAGTTTATCCGGCTAACACTTGAATGATCGCATCTGGAGTATATATTTGTGATACATATATATATCGTCGTATACCTGTCAGTATTCGTTATAAGTGTCTAGTTCTGCAGGAACCTGGGCGGTCAGGGCGGAATTCTATTGCGTTGCTCACTTGACCACCAGCAACATGACCAAGGTTGTTCCGTTCAGCGCACACCCAGCCCAGAGTCCTTTGTTGACCCGCGTCTCTTTGTGTCCGTAAGTGTCATGATTCACTCATACTTCCAAGTGTGATGGTATGCGGTGTGGCATTGGGTTTTCGTGGTGCCTTACGCACTGACATCAGACAGAGAGAGACCTTAATGTGACTGGTTGGTGTTCGAATTCTCTTAGCGTCATCTGCTCTCAAAAATTCACGATTAGCCCAAAAAACATTGATATCTGGTTTGAGGGTGATGATAAGGCTGACTTCTTGCTGCCATAAACAAGCCATCAGCGTAGATACCTTTCAAAAACACCTAATTTATACACATTGGTCAGCTGAAAATTAACCCCGAGATGGTCAATACGTTGCGCCTGTGTAGCACCAAACAGAAAGATTTATTACAGTCGATCTTCAAAAGCGGTGCAATTACCGGACCGTCTTTCGAGCCGTTGGACCAAACAACCTCATCGCTCAACCACAAACACGTTAGTCTCTCTAGGCGTAATCAACGTATGCCAGTGGATTAGCGGTCACACGCCAGTCTCGGATGTCATGTTTGGGGTACCACCAAGTATATGTATACACTGCTGATGAGCTTCAAAAAGAGCGAACCTAAAGGGTGTGGATGTATCAGAATAATTTTGCCAGGTCAGGAGGAAAATTCTTCCAACGAGAGTGATGCGATTCTGCGACTCCAATTACGCAACTCACATTATTACCTACAACCATTTCATAGATTGTTGCGAAATTGATGATGTATTATTTATAATGTAACTGCGATTTTTAGGTGTATGAATGCAGTTTTTAGCTGATAACATTCTACAATCACCGTGCCGTTCTCATGACAAGACGTCCGGACAGTTTTTGTAAGAACGATAATATTAGTAAGATGGCTTAGTGGGAATAATCAAGTTGGACTTCTAGAATTGTTAAATCACCGTACCTCAAAGGGCTGAAGCTCTGACCTGAAGCCTGACGGCTTGGCACTTAGTTATCATTGGAAAATACCGGGGCGCTGTAGAATGAAAAGGTTAATGAGTGTCATATCACGCGTCTACGCCTCCGTTGTGTTTCGTTAGATCGAGGTAAGCCATCGGTCCAAGGAAGGCATCAGCGAATGGCTGTAAATCGACTGTTCAAGTACTGCTTATTCCAGTCAAAGCTCTTATTTGAAAGTTTCATTCACGGAAAAAACTGTCCATTCTTCACTTTTGTAACTTACTTTCATACTTGTAGCCATGAGAAACGATTTCTAGTCAACTACAGCCAACAACTCGTTTTGGTCGAACCAGACTCGAGACAAATGGGCTGGGGAGTGATCACGTTTATCGGCCCACTACAGGTAAACTTCCAGTTTTCCGAATGGGAGTCAGTATCTTTATCATGTAGATGTCGCTCTTTTAGAATTCTTTGTAGTTGTTGCTACGATTCATGGAAAGCTGTTAACAATGGGTGCTGCCTAAACAAGGCTTGATTGATCTTTTCTGAGCGCTGTGGACACTGTTTAGTTATTTATTAGAAACAAAGGCCCTTGTCAGACTTTGTTTGGAAACTCAGTAGGACGTACAGCAGGTAGGCAGGAAATGACGACTTAGCGGCGTCGTTAGGTCTCCAAAAGGTAGTATTAGTAGTCTGTTCTGCAGTGAAGGTCTGATTATTTGCACCATCTGGGGATTAAGGGATGAAACTACTCTCCTACTTTTTCATACATAGAGGTTTGCGTTAATATCCTAAATAGTTTTACATTCACATAAGCCGCATATAGAGTAAAGGCTTGCTAGCCACAATATTAAGTTTACCAGTTTACCTTCTCCGTACATTTACTGTTGGTATCATGATGTACTGTCCGTTGAGAGAGGTGTTTCAACCTAGTTATTCTCATTTATTCACCGAATTCGGATTTTCAGGGTTTTCTGGTAACCATAAAGGCCCAAATGAGCTAAGTGGAAATTCATCAGATTCACTATTCTACTGCGAATTCAACACTGCTGGATATTAGACGACTCATCACAGTCCACGAACTCGGAAACAACTTACTTGCTGTCATGACAGTGTTTAAACGACATGGCCACAGTTATTGTGGTGGCGTTTTGGGCCAGCATCAGGTTCTCTCTGGGGGTTGGTTATATCAATTCATCGCAGCATACATGTTTGCAGTTCCAACCGATTAATATAATACCCTGAGGCCTCTGGGGCTTTCCCTGGATACCTTTGATCTAAGATCGGCTGTTTCATCACAGATCACCACAGGACCTATACCGCGTCCTGAATACGATTACAAATACTTTGGCTGTTGATCTACGACATCCATATCTAAGGTAGTGCTATTAGTAGGCAGAGATGTCACATGACATAATCAACTGCAGAAGGTTGCAAATTATGGTTACACATTCTGGGTGCTGATTGGCTGTCTGCTGGGTCGACTGATCTACCCTCAGCCGATCAAATTCGGCGTTACATCAGTTGACGAAGACGTTCAGGAGCTGTTCGGCCATTCAATTTATATTGGCCTCATCGACAGGATGAAATCTGCGTTGAAAATGACCAATTATTCTCTTTTTAGCATTAATGACGTGCTGAGTTGGTTACCGACGATAGCGCACTGTGTCTAACATCCGGCGATGCCGTCCTTCGTAAAAGTCTCCGCCAAAGCAGTGGTTGTTTAGGTGAGGTGTCTGCTGTGGTGCAGCCATTGATTATGCCCCAGAATAATAAATTACAAAATGTGCGTACTATAGCCTCTCCGTCTTGTGGCGTCCTACAAAAAATTGCTTTTTTCGGACAGGTGAATTTTATTTCTGGACTGCTGCGTAAAATAATAATGATCACTTCATGTGTCAAATTTTCCTGTGTAGCATGATCTTTCACTGTCAATCGAATGGACGCAACTGGATGAATTCAACCTGGGGCACTTTAGGCTTGTGAATTCCCATGGTCTGGTTTTGGCTCTTTAGCGTAGGTCAACTGTATTTGCATATATGCACGAGTCTATCGTCGTCAGGATGACAGGTTCCCGTGATTATTTGCTCCGCTTTACTGGATAAGTGATGCGATCTTTATCTAATAGCGGTTCATATGTAGGGATCCTCCATCTAAAGGCTAACATTCGGGAGCTGACATCCTATGAGACAGATGGGTTGTTGATTGACCAACCATACCTATCTGTTGTCATATTTAACCGTTTTAGTATTCTGTCAGTAACCCAATCGTTTAGTCCCACAACAACCTACTTGTTTGTTGGTCGGAACAGTGTGACTTTTATACACTGCTTGTTCTTATCCCTCGTGACGTGTGCTTTCCTGTTAATTCCGTTTATGTTCATCTTGCACAAAACGGACAGAGAACCATATGTCGTATTCGTGTTTTAGGATTTGGAAGCGGTTTGTGATCCGGCAGACAGTCGTTGTCTACACGTAACGGTTCATTCACCCGGCCATTTAACGTCTACCTCTTTAACTGGTGCGAAGTCGATGCCAACCAAAACAAAAGTCGAAACCAGTGGGGTAGACTCCAGTCCACGTCACACTTTTAAAAAATCAGCACTTTTTGTGGCACGATTTCTGTTCGAAGATCATATTCGTTGTATGACGGCTAGACAAATGCTCGTTCGAGGATGTGAATTGGCCCGACAAACACGACTTCGGAAAATAGCCGCGTGAGTTCTTTTCACATACTATTAGTGATTTGACATGTCGCACGCATCAGAAGTACCCATTTAATAGACGGCTCTGTGACGGAATCGCGTTGTCATCATTGGCAACATCGGCGTAAAAGATTGATGTCTCAGGTGGTACAACCACACGTCAGTTTACCTAAATAGGAGTCTGTAATGAATAGAAGAAAGTTGACACAGGAGAGGTACCCGGTTGCCAACCCCACACAGACATCCGACGTTCCCACACCTGCAACTCTCAGCTGAATGATCTGGGCAGAAGGTGATTTACATCGTTCTTCCTTAAAAGTCCTGTCTCGCAACCATACAGCAGCACAGTCCGTATTATGGTCTGATGGAATAAATTCCTTGAGATTCGCGCCAAGAATTCGCCTGTCACACAGTCCCCAGTACTGGTGGAGCTTCCAAGATGCCCAGACTTTTCTGCCATGTAAGCGCTGAGTGACAAGTTTGGTGCATCCATGAGGTATCGGCGGCAACACTAGGCCATTTTTAACACCAATGCTTTGTGCCGTGTAGTCCCTTCCGTCTACTTCTCACGGTGTCCCAAAAAAAAACTAGCGAATGGTTCGAAGTGCATGTTTTCCTCATTCTCATGTTAGAATGAGCCTATTCATCGTCGTGATTTTAACAGTGTAAATGAGCTGCATCAGCTATAAAGACCAAGTCGTCGAGTTTGACACGATCGGCCGGTTAACAATACCAGTATGCCAGGGGCTATTAGTCCCTTCCGCTACTTCTCACGGTGTCCCAAAAAAAAACTAGCGAATGGTTCGAAGTGCATGTTTTCCTCATTCTCATGTTAGAATGAGCCTATTCATCGTCGTGATTTTAACAGTGTAAATGAGCTGCATCAGCTATAAAGACCAAGTCGTCGAGTTTGACACGATCGGCCGGTTAACAATACCAGTATGCCAGGGGCTATTATTGGTCACAGATAAAATGGACATTTTCATGTGTTTTCTCATGGTAAGTTGACGCTGCTGGTAAGCAGAAACATCTCGGAATTCAAACAAATAAGATGAATTTACAGAGGGGTTGTGGTCTTGACGATATCAAAATGGTTGGCTCTTGTGACAGTCATATCAACACTTGAGGATATCCAGATGTCCTATGGGGACATAACGGTAGTAAATTTTGATTGGCTATCGAACAACGCTCAGTTGTATGTGTTAGCTTGAACCGTGCAATACATTTCCTCAATTTCCGTCTCGTCTTCCGGTGAGGGATCACTGGGCTCGCTCCAAACAAATATAAACTCCAGAGTTGCTTGGCATGAGTCGTTGAGGTGTTTAATTACCTTATTGTAAGATTGTTGCAGGTGGCAAAAGATTCATGTCACAAAGCCACAGATCAAGTTGTTTGATTGGCACAACCTTTTAATGTTCGCTGCCGATTGGCTGCCCATAGCTCGAACTTGTATCCGGAGGTTGCACATTCGCAAATCCCCCGATATTCTTGAGCTAAACAATCCCGGTGATCTCCAATAAGTATGATGCAACTGAGGCAACGATTCTCCAACATAGATTCGCAAGACGAAACCTTTAAGACCTTGTTACTTCCAAAACAACTTCCCAGAGGTCTGATGCTACTTCGAGGTTGTTATCAGTAACTTGACATAAAGACGCTAATTTGATCGGAAAAACTATCGAATGACAGGTTAAATTGAATCCAACCTCTGACTCTGGTTTCTTGATCTAAGATCTCAATGAAAGCTAATGGCATGGGAGGTAGTAACGTGGTCCTTGGATCATTACAGCTGTATGAGTGGTACACCCATACGAGGTATCGTCTTCCCAAGTCGCCTGTGGGTTCTCTCGCTACAAGCATTAACATTCTCACCATAGTTTCCTGTCCCTTTTTTCGGTCTCAGTTTACTCGACTTCTCTCCACAATTTCTTCGTGAGACGTTTGTTTTCGGTGGCCCGACTGGTGGTTTCAATTTCGGCCCGTCCAAGGCTGCTAACCACCCCAGTGTTGCTCCGAATTCGGCCAGCTTTCCTACCACGAGCGATGCACGGACTAACTCACAACAATCTACCAACCCAAGCAGTGATAAAGCGCTCAATCGAGATCCAGGTAAGTAAACGAACAGCAATTTTTCGGCGTGATGAAACTTGAGTGAATTCACTCGTCACTGTGCTAATAGACCCCTGAACGTTCCTCATTTATATAGTAAAGATTTGTGCTTAGAAACATTGGTGTACACGGCACATATTTCGAGAGAGTGGAACCCTTGTTCCTTTTTCTTTGTGGTTCGGTAACCAAGGGGATCGATGTTCGTTTCTGTCTAGCTATTCACAATCGGGCATTGTGTGAATTAACTCTGGCTCACAGCACATAAGGTTGCTGAAAATGCTGCAACAGCCCACAACCGATCTTGCTTTTTTTGCGGCTCATCAGAGGGGGTGTAGTTCCCGAGTTTCCATCAACCTCATTTTCACTTGGTACGATATTCAAGATATCGAAATATATTTTCTTGACATTAACACTTATTTGAAAGATTCAGCTGCGCTACACGTGTCCTGATAATATCACATTGGTTTGAAATGAGTGTGAATTCAGGCCTCTTTGTGCATTCTACTTTCCTTTAACAGTATGCGGACCAGTTATTCATCATCACCATCATGGACGTTAACAGTGCAAAGTGACGCTGAACTGTCGTACATGTATGGAGAGAAAGACTTTTAGTAAAGAACAAAAAGAAGGGAAGTGGAACAGAGAGACCTACCCCTTGGGGAAACTATTAAGAGCAAGGCACCTACACCTTCCAAAACCATAGAAGAGACATCTGACTATTGTGTTGGAGCAGAACGCCACCAACAGCACTGACCTATACCAAACAAAAGCCCTGCGTGCAATGACACAAACCTTGACTAGTCGCCCCGGCTGTGAAGTGACAGCAGGCTCTCCACCGGAGTCTGTTACGCGCCATTTCCTATAGGGTTTCTAACTAGACTCTAAGGTGATCGCGTGTAACCCATCCTAGAAGGTGCGAGAACCTCACAGCGATAGACTTGACAGTAACGGATTTCATTTCGCGTTGGCACTACGAGGGCAATCATACGCTAAAACCACCTTCCCATTCGCAATTAGTCACTGTAACGATTAGTAGGCTCACCTCACACGTGGTCGATCGGAAGACGATGCGCTTGTCCGTCCAGCATCAAGGCCAGTTCCGATTTATCGGAAATATGAACCCAACAGCTACTCATGTTACACTTTCAGTCTGCTGAATATCTCTTGTCAGTGGGGCGTCCAGAAGGTGTCTGAATATCTAGGTTGTCATATGCACTTTGAAGAAGAGACTGGACCTTA